CGTTTGTATTTATGGAGTTGTCATTTTAAATTTAAAAGTGAGTATTAAGGTTTAGTAGTACTGATTTTTTCAGCATGCTATTAAGTAGCATCCATTTTTCATCTAGTTTAGAGCAGCAGTCTGTTGGGTCTTAAACAGCTGTGTAGAATGTTACCTGTTACTGAACTAGTCTAGTCCTTCTGCTTAACATCAAGCAGTTCATTAAAGTGGATTTTTATGGTATACTGGTTTTGAACCAGGGCAACAAAGATCCAGTTTTTACACCTGTGATCTAAATTCTTTAACTTCCAAGGGCTGAGAAAGAAATTTGGGATAATCCGAGAGGGACAGTGATTTTAACCATAACTTCTAAGTCTGACAGTTTGTCTGTAAGAGCTCTTGAGTACTAAGTAAACATGCAGCCTCACATTCTGATGTGATGTCACCAGATAAAGCAAAATAGGAACCCTGAAGTATCAAGAGGCTATAATTTGTCTATTGTCACATAGAAAGTAGGAAATAAACCTCAAGAAGCTTGTTTTGTTAGAAAAAAATGTGTCTATGGAAAAAAATTATAATATGATGAATGTCATTGATAATGAACAGAGTGCTGGCAGTGGATGGCTACTGCATAAGAAATGCATATTATGTTTTGTCTGCAATTTTGATAAGCATACTGTTGCAAGTTATGTTTGCTCCTTGTTGATATTCAGTAGTTTCGTAAGTGTTTTTGTATTTCCTTGTCCTGTGGTCAGGAAGTGAAGTAGAGGGGGAAAGGAAATCTGAAATTGTTGTCCACCATCAAGACCCTGCTTTGCAAAATTTAGGAAAGCCGATTAATGCTCAGTTTCAAGAAACTATTCTGTTCTGCATATATTTATGAGTACAACTAAATAATGAAGGATTTTTCTTGCTTATCAATTTCTGCAAAGTAATTTTAATTTGAAACATTTGCTGAAGGGGAGAAGGAAACAAAAAAATACTCAGTTTTTATACTCTCTTGACACTGTAGATTACTTACTTTATACAGCCCATGATTGAATCAGGTAAGGTGATATTTGAAAACTAAAAATGAAAGAAACAAGCTGTATCTTTGGAGGAAGATTCATCTTATTTTTCCCCATTTAATCAGTATTCTGTATGTTAATACCAACATAACCATATGTGGTGGGTTGACCTTGGCTAAGGGCCAAACTCCCACCAGCTGCTCACTCACTCCCCCTCCTCAACAGAGCAGGGGAAGAAAATAGGATGAAAAAGCTCATGGGTCGAGGTAAATACATGCAAACTGCTTACCAGTTACCATCACAGGTGAAACAGACTTGACCTGGGGAAAGCCAGTTTAATTCATTGCCAGTTCAAATAGATTTGGGTAGTGGGAAACAGAAGACAAAACTGAAAACACCACCTCCGCTCCTCCTCTTCCCAGGCCCAACTTCAGTCCTTCGGTCCTGACTCCCTTACCCCCCAACCCTGAGTGGTGCAGAGGGATGGGGAATGGGGGGCTGTGGTCAGTCCATAACAGCCTCTCTCTACCACGCCTTCCTCCTCACACTTTTCTCCTTCTCCAGCGTGGGTCCTCCCATGGGCTGCAGTCCTCCAGGACAAGCCTGCTCCTGCATGGGTGCTGCACAGGCCACAGTTCCTTCAGGGAATATCCACCTGCTCCAGCATGGGGTCCTCCATGGGCTGCAGGGTGGATACCTGCTCTGGTGTGGGGTCCTCCAAGGGCTGCAGGGGTGTACCTGCTCCACCGGGGCCTCTCCAGGGGCTGCAGGGGAATCTCTGCTGGAGCATCTGGAGCACGCTTTCAGCTTCCTCCTGCTCTCACCTTGCTGCTCGTGGGCTGTTTTCTCACACTTTTCCCATACTCCTCACTGCCAGGCAATGTTTCTCCCTTTCTTACTTTCTTACACATGCTTTCCTTGAGGCACTACCATCTTGGCTGCTGGGCTCAGCTGTGCCCTGCCGTGGGTCCATTTGAACCAGCTGTGTCTGGCGCGGCACAGCCCCAGCCTCACCACCCCTATAGCCTCCCCCACTGCCAGCACCTTGACACCTAAACACCTACACCAAATAATGCTATTGTATTGCTTCTGTAGCATGTGTTGCTGCTAAATATGCTGTTTTACACCATAGGAGAGAATGTGGGATGGGTAACTGTTTGCAAGGACACATTTTCCTCAGAAGAAGGTGTTCTATAGCTCAGCCTTCACTGTACTGCAGGCTGCCCAGCAGACTTAAATGCATTGGCAAAAAAAAAACCCAAAACAAAACCCAAACCTTTAGGTCTACTTCTCACAGCACGTAGTCATTTTTTTTTTTACCATGTTCATCTCTGCAATTGTTTACTTAAAACACAAAGAAGGTCTCGAGCTGAGAGAAGCAGCATATAATTATTGGAAATACACATTTAATCAACTTAGATATCATTTGATACATAGGATTCTTAGTTTCATTAACTACTTGATCCAGATGACTGTATATGTCCCTAAAGTGTAATGCCTCTTTTAAATAGCTTTGTTTGTCCTTGTAATATCTTGTCTTCTAGTGATTTCTGCTGTTTGTCTTTTGAATAATCACTTTTCTCTAGACTTCCCAGATTTCAGAACAGCAATTAGAAAGCCTGGTAGGAAGGCAGAATCTTCAGAGTATATATGATTTTCCATTCATATTGATAAAAAAGATTTGAACAAGCTTTATTGCCACAAATGTTTTTTTCAATGTGTAAGAAAGGTTACACCTGCTCCAAAATTGCAAATGGGTTCCTCTGCACCCAAATGCCAGGAAGTTACCCAAGTCTTGTTTATCTCAGTGGTAAAGGAGGCTGCTCTGCAGTCTTGCATAATGTCTTCTGTACTACAGATTTCCAGACTGTGGTATGCATACCGCTAATGTCACGTGAGCAGTCTAAGTGATATACAAATACTGCTTGAACAGGCAGGTGTTGCTGCTTATGTACATGCATAGCCTGATACAGAGCTGGAAATGTTGATACTTTTGCTGTCGCAAATGATGGCATCTTAGGGGAAACAAAGTTAGGAAACCCTTATAGATAGAGATTTGTAGGCACATGAGAAAGAAAAGAGAAAAAAAAAAAAAGGGCAAAAAACCCAGACTTCTCAGCAACTTGTGCATACTGGCTATATATACTTTCCATTTTCCTTCCCTTCCCCATCACCAGGCATCTAAAAGAAAGAGGCTTTGGGTCACGTAAGGAGATAATTCTTCCCCTCATATTTGTGAGCTCGGAAGATTTGGCTTTGAGGTTTATCAGTTAGGCTGAAAGATACATCATAAGCCTATAAATTGTATATAACCAACAAGAAGAATTAGTAAACTTTCCCCATGTCCATCTCTGTCTTTCTCTGTCCAGAGTAAACATTCTTCCTCTTCCTCCAGTGACATGAGGGATCAGCTGGGCTTGCAGCATCTTGCTGGTTTACTCTTTTTTAGCCTGGGAAGGAACTGCCCCTTTGCTGTCACGTCAGCCTAGACTGCATGGACTTTTTAAGATGCTGACCTAGCTTAGTGGTGAGGTAATGTTCCTTTGTCACAGGCAGATTGCTAACATTTGTTTGGCAGAGGGATTGCCTCATAAACTGGGAATGAAAAGGTTTAACATAAAGCCAGGTGAAGAAGTTTGGCAATGGTGGTGTTTGTCCTTAAGAATAGTATGGTGAAGAAGTTACCGTCTTTCTGTCGATTTTTTTAATCCTTGTAGATGCAAAAAGGAGTGAGTGGGGCCTAGTTAACAGAGCATGGTTAGATCATATTCCTGCATTTAGGTGGTATAAACGAAGGATGGTCTTTACTGAGTAAGCTACTGCCAGTCTCCTAGGTGTTTGTTACCAGTGCTGTGACTTAGCTAACTCACATTCAAATGGTGTGCAGGATAGGTTGGTCTGGCAAGAGTCTTTTTACAAGACAAGACTGAATTAAATGCGTGCCATGCGAACACCTCGGATTCTCTAGGCTGCATTGTAAACTCTCCTAGCCAGCACAAAGGTGCTGCAAGCATTGAAAGGAGCCTCTGAAGTCCACTGTAGTATCAGTGAGCAAGAATGATTTATGAAGGTGGTACAAGTGGTAAGAGTTTGCTATAGTTGTGGGTTTTTTTCTTCTGTTGGTACTTGGTGGAACCAGGGTAGTCCAAAGACTACAGTATTTGTGAGTGTCAGTGATGCCCGGAGCATTCAAAGCTTAATTCTTGCAAATCCTTTGCAGTGGAAACAAACCTCTTTACACTGGGGAAACATTTACAGGGAGAGGTAAAATGTTTGTTGCTTTTATTTGGCTTAATGTGTTACATAGAAATTGAATGAAGTCGTTCTAGTCAGTTTACCCACTCAAAAGAAGATTAGTTGGTACTAAATATGTTTTGCTTCTGTGGGTGTACATTCATTACTAATCCAAAGTCAGTACTGTTCCAGAACCATTACTGTGTGGCACTCATTGAAAGCACTCTGTGAAACAAATTAGCATTATCTTTTTATCTGTGGTAAGATATTGCCTACTTCAAATAAATGAACAACACATTTGCTAGCATTTTGTGTTCTCATTGGCAGTTTCAGTAGACTGGCTAAGGTTTGGGCAGAGCATCAGACCCCAAACTATGCTCTTGCCAATTAGAGGCAGCTTTTTCAAGTAAGCAGTGTAGACTAGAACTCTACAATATCTTTGTACATGCTCTCTGGAGAAATAATTCCTGTTTCAAAGGTTGTCCAAATTGATATTTTTACTTTTATATGGCATGTTTCACTGAAGAATCTTAGTGCTCTTATCTAAGTCTAAGGATAGAATATTCCTCAATTTATATAAGTATAAATCAAGCAAAAGGGACTGATTTGTCTCACTGAATATATTTAAAAAATACTAACTTAAGGAAGAAAGAATTGTGTTAAAAGTTTAACCCATGAACAAAACTTACTAAAACTGTTTTAGTTTAATGCAGTGATATTCTTCATTTCCATGTTTGACACACATCACTTTAACTCAATTTTGTTTTTATTTCCATTTAGGACGTGTAGGAACACCTCATTTTATGGCCCCAGAAGTGGTAAAAAGGGAACCTTATGGGAAGCCTGTAGATGTTTGGGGTTGTGGCGTGATCCTTTTTATCCTGCTAAGCGGTTGTTTGCCTTTTTATGGAACCAAGGAAAGATTATTTGAAGGCATTATTAAAGGAAAATACAAGGTAAATGACAGTATACCTGAGTCCTTTTCCAGTGAGATGAGCTCCGCTAGTAAAAATTCTGGATGTTGATTTTTGTATTTGGCCTGATTTAAATTTGAAGCATATAGAAATCTGTCTGTGTTACACAGGAAGAGAGATGATTTTTTTCTCTCCAGTCTATCTTGTTCCTGCTGTGTTTTGTATCAATGTTAGGAATTAGAATATGGAAATATTTGCTCAGATGAAATAATAAATGGGTGCAACAACTAGCCCCTAATTGTTCATTGAGCTCAGTAGGATTACATAAGGTTTAGCTATGAAGTATAACGTACTGTATGTTACCTTAGGTTTATAGATCATTTAAATTTTTAAATCAACTAAAAGAACTTTCATAAAGGCTGGTCATCATATTGCCTTGATTTAAAACAAAATGCATGTTACTGTAAAAGTGGAGTTATGCATTTTTCTTTTAGTACAGTATGTAGTAAAGTGCAGCTGATGATTCAAAAGGAGCCACTTGCAACTGAAAGCAAATCGGTGTGCGTGCAAGATAAGCATGTTTCACAACATAAGCATCCTAGAGCCATTATGGAGGCAGATTTAAAGCTTCGACTTCACTATTTTTGCAGTTTTGTTGAAGATAGGTTTTGCTCTACTTCGCAACAAAGGTCATACATGAGCTGTCTTATTAGCGAATTAAGAGTGGAAACTCCTAAAACTGTCTGATAGTCAGTAATACGGTTTAGGAAGTATTTTATTATATGAACTTAACAGTAGTCTGCTAAAATGTAAGTGACAACAGTGGTACTGCACTTGGTCAGGAGCACATTTTTCATTCTTTAAATTTGTATTCCTAGAAACAGCAGGATTTCTTCATGGCACTAGTTTTGGGATTGCATAGGCTGGTAGATGTTCCAGTTTCATTTTATGGAAGATTTCTTTGTGGAATCTCTTAAGCAGCTAAAACCTTCTGGAAGAATACAAGTTAACTTTTCTTTGTTTAAAAAAAAGTCATGGCCAGCACATTGTGTCTTCTCAGTTCCTTTTCTGTTCCTGTTTCCACAATAATATGTCTATTCAGTGAAAACAGTGTAAGGATTTCAAAACAGTCTTGCTGCAAATTTGCAATTACCTTCATTTCATTAGAGCTGAAAAAGAAATGACAAATCACAACTATAAATGTGCATTTCATAGCCAGATAATGTTCCTGAGTGCTCCAATTTAAAGCAATCATTTTTCGTAAAGACTGATCTTAAATAAAATGGACCTCTTTAAATTAACAGATTATTACATTGAAAAGAGTCAGGTTATAATTTTGAATTTTCATTTAGTACTTTGTAAAATTAGCAGTGTACCATCTAAATAAAACTTAAGTTCTTCATAAATTAAAGAAATACTAGAAATAGCTTAAGGATAGAATCCTTTATCACAGAAAGAATTTTCTTACTTTAGTATGGTTTTATCGGGTGTCCATCATCTTGACTAGTTGGACACAAACCTGCATATGCAGAAGACGAAAATATATTCTAAATCATCCTTCACATTGTTGTCTCCTAAAGATACAGTTCTGCTCTAAAAAGCATCGTAATTGCTTGTATTGTTGATCAGATGTCAGTATGCTTTCCTATCTGAGTGGCTGAAGAAGCTTAACTCTTGTAAAGTTGAAAGGAATTTGTTGGGAAGAGCCATTGTCCATGCTACCTGTGGGACAGGACCAGAGTAGTTCACAACAGGCATTAGCTGACTCCCTTCTTACTCAGCATCACTGGCATGAAATTGTGGGTTGATACAGATAGACTGTCATGCCATTCCTTATATTGATTTCAGGAGTAGATTTAATTTCTACATTTATCATATGCATAGATAACTGTCAGACAAAGACTAATTGTTTTTTCTTGTTCTAGTGAAGGGTCACTTTTATCTGAACAAAATGTAGCATAGGTAAAGAATTATACTGTGATTATAACATAATACCAAGGATATGTCAGCTTTTATGTGATACAGTGCTCACTGTTTTCAATCTTTTATGCCATTTCAATAGCAACTAATGTACAATTTTGTAAGTTATTAAAAAACTTAGAAACTTCTTTTACATTTATTATGATAAAATGTTTACAAGTACCAACCACTGTTAAATCCCTGCAATTACTTTACATAAAAAGTAGGTTCTTTTCTCTATTCTTATTACTAATTTAATTTCTTTTTTTCTTGCTTGTAATCAGATGAATCCTAGGCAATGGAGCCATATTTCTGAAAGTGCCAAAGATCTGGTACGCCGCATGCTTATGCTGGATCCAGCAGAAAGGATAACAGTATATGAAGCACTGAATCATCCCTGGTTAAAGGTAGTAAAAGCAGCTGTTTACATACCAGTTTCCTCTTCACGGGGAGAAAAAGATTTATTTCTTTGTTTCTTTGAACTTTTCGAAGCAGACATGACATTGTACAAAACGTGTGATAATGTGTTTTAAATGCTTTGTAAGATGAGCACCTTACATTTTGATAACTACCAGGCTTGAACTCTTGAAGAGCAAACTCACTCACTTCGGCAGCATCAGAGTATAGGGAGTAGGGCTGTGTAGAATAAAGCTTGAAGAAGGTATTCATGTGTCTTTCTGTGGCTCTCAAACTCCAGAAGAGTAATTTCTGATCTCTTTTTTGCTCAGTCATATCTAGACCTCTTTCTATTATGCATGTAGCCATGCAGTTTATTGCAGTACATTATGCTACTTAACTGTGCTGCTTTCTTACATTAGATTCGTGAAATACCCCACCAGAGTGAAGGAAGCATGTGGTGGTGTGTTGCTCAAAGGCCACTGTAACTACATAAAATTATATGGCATCTGGTAATCAGATTATTTTTCAGTGGTGGCAGAATTTACAACACAGTTTGAGCCAGTGGGAGAGTAGTTGCTGGACACTGAAGCTTAACAACAGGAGCAGGAGAACATACACCTAGCTTCTCAGCAGTCCCATTAATAGGCTGTGCTAAACATTGGAGTTGGAGAATGATGGGTGTGTTGCAGATTTAAAAGGTGGCAAGCACTGGTTCAGAGCATTGTATTTTCTTTAGCAGAAACTGATGAATTAACTATTTTTCTTTGTCATCCTCTATTTCTTTTCTATTTTTGCCTGCAATAAACTGCCTTCCCTGCTGACTCAGAATTTTCTTCTAAACAATTATAGATAGCAGCTGAATACAGCACGAGACAGAGACATCTTTAGTGCTGTAGAGAGACTGAGTTACTTCTGCCAGTGATTTCACTCTGATTCAGGAGATGCATGTGATAAACATTTACATTAAATGAATAAGTGTATGTAGCTTCTGGGATGATTTGGGGCCGGGGACAAAAGTAGTCAGCTGCTGCAAGTTCTGTCCCCACTGTTCATTGGCAAATTTTTTGTCTGCATATACAATGGAGAATTCTTCCTGTAAGCTAGCACCTGGTGTCACCAGCCATCGAGCTGGCACTTCCTGCTCTGCTGGACAGGTACCCCATCTCCCAAGCTTACCTGAAGTATCAAGCAGCCCTTAAAAGAGTGCTTGAACATGTTGCTTCACTGGAATTTGTGAATCCCAAGCAGCAGAACTACTTTGTGCTTGCCAGCTTCAAAGTTCAATGCTGGCCACAGACTGACTAACAACACAACAGTGAAACAAAGGCTGGAGTCTTACTACAAAGTGGAAAACAAAATTACAAAAAGAAAATATCCCTGGCCCAAGTTAAGAATTCTTTCAAAATATTTTAATCCCTCTCAGTTTCTTGAAGTTTTCCTTAAGTTGCAACAAATCCTCATTCTCCTTAGGATACTTACTAGCTGGTACATTTCTTGTCTAGTTTCTTAATGTGGAGAGAATATTAAGATCTTGTATTTAATGTTTCTTTTGTTTTGTTTTTTGTGGGGGTTTTTAAGGAGAGAGATCGCTATGCATACAAGATCCATCTTCCAGAAACAGTAGAACAATTGAGAAAATTCAATGCAAGACGAAAACTAAAGGTAAAATGAATGTAGTGTTAAAACAATATAATTACGTAACTGGAATTTTGTGTGACACTTTATTCATTTTAAAAGTGCTAAGAGAAATCTATGCTCTGAAGTTGGCAATAAAATAAAATGTTGAAACGAGCCTTCACAGTTATTAATTGCAATGATCTCTTGTTAAGGGTGTTCGTCCTTTCTTTCTTAGTGCATAGTTTTCAAACTAAACTTCAGCGCAAATTGTCTGGTATCAACCGAGGTGTGTATGAGGTCTTCATCTTAGTTCAGTAATTCTGTGTATTAAGAATCACTGGAGAGAATAGCACAATGGCTTCTGTTATTATTGTGTTACATTTATAATAAAAGGAACATAATAATGTTTTAATGTCTTTTTTCAAGAAGAGCAAAAATGTATTCTTCAGTTTATCCCCTTTATGTTTAACTATACACAAGAATATTTCTCAGCCGTATTGAAAAGAACGTTAACATTTTAGCCCAAAACAACATCGTTTCCTTTCAGTTCCTATCTTGGAAAGTTTAACAGAAACATTTTTAAATTCACTGAAAGATTGAGAAAATTTTAACAGAAACATGCACCATTACAATTCATGAGGTTTTTTTATAATTTGTAATAAAACACAGTATCAGATATACACACTGAGTTGCTGCTTTGCAAAAGTTTAATGTAGCTGCAAAAACAACTGATGATTAGGATGCAACCGTTGTCGTAGTTCATGATAAACAGCACGTTCTCTTAGGTGGTTTGAATGTCCAGGTAATGCTTTCATTAAAATGTTAGCTAGTATATTTTAAAATATGACCTGTTTTCCTGCTCTAGACGCAGTTTCAGGTCTTTCCCAGATTTCTTCCTGGGGAGGCCACTATATTTAGTCTTCTGAGAGCTTTTATACCTGCGCTATTTGTTTTCTACCTTTTTATCCAAAGCACGGCTCTGCAGAATGCCTCCTCAAATTATTTGTTGTCCATTTTGCCTACTGCCACAACTGTAAGACATTAAAACCTGAGTGGTTAAACTGTAATTTACTCGAACAAGTAAATAAATCTGCTCATCAGAGCAGATGACTGTTTTTCTGGCTTTGTAACTTCCCATGTAACACTCATCCTGGGAGTCTGAGATTATTACATTTTCATATAGATATGTTATGGATGTCAAATATCCTGGTGCTGTCAGTGTCAGATTCTGACAATTTCTCAAATAACAACATATTCTGTTGCTTTAAAGAGTGAATTTTTATACTTGCTAAGCCACCCAGTCTAGG